AAAGATAAAAATATTCAAGATATTAATTGGAATTAATAAGATAGGAATAGGAATTAATATTGACATTTAGAGGGAATCTGGGAATTAGTGGCCTCGTATCGGCGTCACCGAATTCCAGCCTCGCCACAGGGTTTAATTCCCATGTTGGTGGAAATGGGAATTAAATATGAATAGTAAAGGGAAGAAAATTCCATAAAACCCAACAGAAAATTCCATAAAACCCACTTTTTCATCGGAAAACAGTATGGAGCGCCGAAACACCTGCCCCTGTTTTGGTTTTTTGACCTGTTTTTTCTCGGGAGCCTGGGCAAGGCGGTGAAATTTGGGGCAAAAACTGGTTTTGAGGCTCAACGGTACCTTGAGGTTTCCTCTTCTTCCGTAGGCACGACGTCACGTATCGCTCCAGCTCCCGCAACGTGGATGGTTTCAACGTCTCGAAGTCGATCTCGATCTCGTCGGGGTTGGAGTTCTTCAGCGAGGGTTCCCGCGACTGGATGATGTGGACGACTCGGCCAAGTTTTTCCCCGGGGAGTTTGTTAATGTCCAGGCTGAGCTGCCTCTTCTCCTCGTAGGACATGGGTTTGCACTTCTCCTCCTCCTCGGACTCGTAGGCTGGAGGCGGTTTGCTGCTCTTCACCGGCACAGGTTCCTTCTTACTACTCGGGAACAAGGAGAAAAGGTTATTCCAGAACACGCCGTAGCGCCGGAACGACCCGACCCCTGCGATGGAACCACCGAATCGCTCCCTGGGGGGTATTTTTTCTCTCCATCCTGGAAACGAGCGTCTTTGTCAGTTACGATTCCACCGTATCACATTTATTTCATTTATTGCTTGAGCTTAAAGCTCCACTGTGAGGTTGGGAGGCAGAAGGTTGAGTTTGATCCACTGTTAGACAAGAAGGTTGAGCTCAAGCTGCTCCTAAGATGAGAAGGTTGAGCTCGACCTGCTCTTAGGACAAGAAGGTTGAGCTCAAAAGACAAGAGTTTGAGGACTCTCAATCTTATCTTAGGGCGAGAAGGTTGAGCTCAGTCTGCTCTTAAGACAAGAAGGTTGAGCTCAACCTGCTCTTAAGACAGGAAGGTTGACTTCAACCTGCTCTTAAGACAAGAAGGTTGAGCTCAACCTGCTCTTAGGATGATCAAGTTGAGCTCAACCTGCTCCTAAGACAAGAAGGTTGAGCTCAACTTGCTCCTAAGACAAGAAGGTTGAGCTCCATCTGCTCTTAGTCCAAAAATTTGAGCTCAACTTGCTCTTAGGACACCCAAAGCTGAGCTCAACCTGCTGTCATAGACACCCGAGGCTGAGCCACCCGTCCCAACGCTTGCTCTCCCAAAGAGGTGAGCAGCTCCAGGAGATCATCCACAACAGCAGGAGCAGCTCCGGAGCGGAATTCCTTACATCTGCACTTGGATGGACCAACACTCAACCAATGCTGCCCATTTCTCACCAGGAAAGGTGAGAGGTTGGTCTGTTTCTGAGCCTGACACCTCGTACGGAGAAATAAAACCCTGGATCCGTCAAAAAATATGTTCATACGAAGGAAAAAAACTCAGTTAAAAAAGAAACGGAAGCGTCGTGCGGGAAAACGTGAAGGATTACGCGATGGAAGGAGGGACGGGGCTGACCTGGAGGTGCTGCTGTTGCTGTTGCTCTTCTTGGCCTTCTTGGAGGGCGGCTCCTTGGCTTTGCTCTTCTTGGCGTCTTCCAGCTCTTCCTTCTTTTTGTGCTTCTCCTTCTTCTTCTCCTTCTTGTCCTTCTCTTTCTTCTTTGGTTTGTTCTGCTGGGGCTGGGACAGGGCCGCGAGCTGCTCGTGCACCGCTTTGAGCTGAGGGAAACGGACGGAAAAAAACACCGTTATTTTTCCCAGCAGCACCTTCTCCATTCCCACACTAATTCCCTTTTTTCTCTACTACTCAACGTTTTCTTCTCTTTCATTATTCATGAATTACGAGCGTTAACGACGCCACCAACGGGGGAAAACGTGGGAGATACGGTTACGGGGAGGAGAACCGCTCGGTATCTCCCGGGCTTCCCCTGCGCTGGGGAAATCCCCGCTCCGGAGTCGCCTGCCTGCTCAGAAGACACCACCCAAGCGTAGGCAGGAGATTCCAGCCCTTGGGGACCACCTCGTGTGTCCCAACAGGAACTGGAAGGACTGTCCCGAAAAGATCACCTGCCTGCTCAGAAGACACCACCCAAGCATAGGCAGGAGATTCCAGCCCTTGGAAACCACCTCGCGTGTCCCAACAGGAACCGGAAGGACTGTCCCGAAAAGATCCCAAAAAGCACCAATTCCATCGCGCTCCGGAGTCGCCTGCCTGCTCAGAAGACACCACCCAAGCGTAGGCAGGAGATTCCAGCCCTTGGGGACCACCTCGTGTGTCCCAACAGGAACTGGAAGGACTGTCCCGAAAAGATCATCCCAAAAAGCACCAATTCCATCGTGTTTCACTTCAAAACTAATATTTTTGGAGCGTTTTGCAGCTGACGGCCACTGTTGCACAACCAGAAAGTCAACGGTCTCAAGGAAAGTCCTCGAGGCCACCAAGATGAAGAAGAAGGTCGTGTTGGACAACCCCCAGTCCACCCCGACGGACACGGTACCTGTTCCTGGAGCTCCGCTAACCGCTGAGCTCGCTCTTCCTCGGAGTCATCCGACGAGCTGTCGCTGTCGGAGGAGCTGTCGCTGCTGCTATCGCTGGACGAAGGGGGAACCACCTTGGTGGGAGGTGGTACCACCACCGGAGAAGAAGCCGGAATCACAGGTTCTTCCGGTTCATCCGGCATCTTGGCAAAGCGCATCTCGAAGACGTCCTGAAAACACAGGGAAAGACCAAAAGGTAACCAAAGTTTGGCAGAGCAGGACACTACGAGGGTGGTTGTGATCTCCAGGGTGTTCCCTACGGCCCTGCGGTCTCTCCCCACGCAATGAAACCGCCGCCACAGAAAAGACCATTTCCTGAAAGCTCCAAATCCACTTGGAATTTTGACCGTCTCCAAGACATTTTTGGGAAAAAACAAAATTTACCGGCAAGAAGGCCAAGACTCATTCAAAAGCCAGATCGTCCAGGTTCTTGAGATCTTCTACATCTCTTTCCGTGATGGATTCGCCAGGAGCTCCGGCTCCGCGTTTGCAATCCCCATCTCATCTTCAGCCTCCTTGGATTTCTCCAACCCACGTCCCGTGAAAACCACCTCAGTCCGAGCCGAATGTTCGGCGCGAGGAGTTCCCCGGGATCCTCACGAACGGGGACGCGAGGTCGGTTTCATCCCAGTTATCCCAACGATGTGAAAGTCCTTTTTCTGTTTTTGATGTGGAGACCACGAACCCACCAGAGAAACCTGCGGCTGATTTCGAAAACCCAACGGACCGTAAACCCCGCTCGTGCGCACGTTCCGGTGAGATGGACACAACTCCTCCGAAATCCTCCGGCGAGCCCAACGCTCCGTGATACCAAACCGCGCCGACTCCAACTCATCGCTCGAGCGCCGGAATGACGTTGTCCCTCCCGAAGGCTTCTGGCTCTTCCAGTTCGGGCTCATCCGTGTGATTTCAAGGACCCGTCGGGCTCTCCCCCACCTCAGCAGACGTTATTTTCCCACCTTCCTTCTTTAATCCGAGCAGGCGGAGCGTTGCTGGACCTGGCCCCACGTTTCTCCATCCTCATCCTCTTCGTGTCTTCACTGAGGATTTTCCAGCAGCACCGGCTGTTCCGGACATCGCTGTCGCTCCGCTGCTTCCATCTGCTGGCAGAAACGCCGCCGAATTCCTTACGGACTCGGGTTCAAATATCCCGGGAAGGAGAAGAAAACGCCGGAGGAAAAGGGAAAGGGAAAGGGAAAGGGAAAGGGAAAGGGAAAGGGAAAGGGAAAGGGAAAGGGAAAGGGAAAGGGAAAGGGAAAGGGAAAGGGAAAGGGAAAGGGAAAGGGAAAGGGAAAGGGAAAGGGAAAGGGAAAGGGAAAGGGAAAGGGAAAGGGAAAGGGAAAGG